AGAATATTCGAGAAAATTTTCAGTTTTACACAAACTTCCAAAAAATGATTTGATATCAGAGAAAATTTTTATGAGTTTTCTAGAAAATTCTCAAATTGGTCTAGAAAATAGAGATGTTGCCCATTCTTTTGCCACGATTTACGGAAGAACGACTGAATAGATTTCCATGATCTCGATTTTTCGAGAATGTTCGAGAAAATTTTGAATTTTAAACGAAATTCAAAAAAATTCTTTGATTTCAGAGAAAATTCGAAAAAACTCTTGAATTTTCCAGAAAATTCACAGATTTTTCTATAAAATTCGAGGGAATTTTCGGATTTTCTATAAAATTCAAAGGAATTCTCGAGTTTTGGCTTTTTGGATTTTTGGCTGCAAACTCATTTGCCAGCACGGTAAAAGAAAAATTAAACTGAATAGAAAACATAATTGAATCAAGTATATTTTATATTCGAATCAAATATAAAATACACTTGTTTCAAGTATATTATTCTAACTTCTGGTTATCATGCAACGGATTGGGAATCACCGGAAAATCATCGAAATAATCTTACCCCCACTCTACCGCAAAACATCAAATACTGCATGTCCAATGGGTGGTAATTCAGTTGGGGGGAATAATCAGTGAAATCCGAAATTTCAGTTCTCTCCCACACGAAGAGGAAAGTTGGAGAAAAATTACCTAGAAAATCGTGGCAAATTTTACTGTACAAAAGGTAATCGTGAAGTGAAATGTAATTCAATGAAAAAATAACTGTTTGCGGAGGATATTTTACGATTTGTTCGGTAAAAAAAACATCGATGAATGCAAAAATTACCCTCACGTTCTGTAAATTTTCCCGAGGCAACGGAGAAAATTTGACCATTCGTTTCGGACTTGTTCCCCGATATAGGGTGTACAGAAGTACTGCACGGAGAGAAATGTTCAGTAAAACTTACGGAACTCACAATTCGCTCACCGATGACGGAATCGACTCAGAAAATTTAATTGACAGTATAGTAATTTTTCACGGGAGATTCAGATAAAAATTACGCTGTCGAAATTCGGAACGCTCTCGGAAAATTCCGTCACAGTTTCGTAAAATTTCCTACGACCACATTTCGCTCCGGAATTACAGAAAAGATACGTAATTTTCATTGAATATTTCTTTCCGCGTGAAAATCGAGGCCACCTCGCGATTACTTGACTTGTTCCGTAATTTTCCTCCGACTCTTTTCTCTCTGCAAACAAACATTTATGAAGTAAGCACTCCGCTACATAATTACGTAAATTAACACCTAATTTTCATAGAGTTTTTTCTCTGTGCATTGTTCGTCCTAGAGATATTGAAAAAATCTATTTTATAAACGTTTTAAAACGAGAGTTAAAATTCAACACGTTATCGCTCCCGCATGCCTAACTCCATCAGGAACAACTGAGTTACCTCAAAGTGGAAAATCTGTTACAACAAGGGCGCGGGTCATCACGCGCTTCCATAAATCAATCCTGCACCGCAGCACTCAATTTCAAAAAACAGGCACAATTCCAGATGTGGGAAGGAAAATTATCCAAATAGAAGCGGATAATGACCACGGAGATAATTTTTCTAGAAAAATTCTAGTACGAGTACTAAAAAAAATTATAATCCACTGCCTGTGAAAAATTCTAGTGCTGTTAAGGTAAAATTTCTTGGTATTTCTGATAAAATTTCTGGGGATTTCTGTGAAATTTTCACAGAAATACGGGGAAAAATTCACGTTTTCCCCAATAAAATTTCTAGTGCCGGCACTGGAATTTTTTCCTGGCCGTCACTTTGCGCCTCTTTTCCTGTGCTAGCACTAGAATTTTTCTCAAAAATTTCTCTCCGTGCAATCGTTATTAACTTTAGCTAATTTCGAGTTTGAATCTGTGCTTCACGCTTTGGAAATCTCAATCGAATTCGCGATGATTCATTGTTATTGATATGATCATTATTATTATTGCTATTTCCTCCTTCTTAATTCCTATCTTCTAAATTCAATCTGTTAATTAAATGCCGTGAGAAGAACTTGAAAAGGAAAGAACGGAAAATTCATTTTTTCTAACATTCTATGCTTACACGGAGATGACTAAATAGTAAACATTTCTATTGTCCCACGGTCTTAAGGCCGAGGGAACACTTTTAAATTTCACCGCGGTCTCCCTTGGAGAATGTATTGCACCCTTTTCGCCAAAATTCACGTTTTTTGAATTTTTCTGGTAAATTGTTGATCGGATTGACGTGAAAAAATGTACTGTTTTTGCGTTTTATCATTACTTAATGGCTCACGAAATTTCATGATCGTGCAATCATTTTCTTGCGTTTTTTCTAAAACATTTCGGAAATTCGCGTCAATCATTTCGCGTCAATCCGATCAATAATTTGCCAGAAAAATGAAATAAACGTGAATTTTGCCCGAAAGGGTGTAGTACATCCTTAACGGGATACGTCGATGAAATTTAAAAGGCTTCACTCCCGAGTCGAGGATTTGGTTCTGATTGGACGTACACAGGTCTTTCAAGATCTCTCCAGACCTAGATGGACCTGGTAAGTCCTAATCAGTTCTGCGACGTACTTTTCCAGAGACCATTCGAATCCTCAGTTCTTTTCGGTCCTGAGAAGTCCTCCTCGATGCTACCGAGAACGCGTGATTTTACGAGCGGGTGAAGGGGAAGGCATGTATGCGGAGGGTTGAAATTTGTAGCCAACGAGGAGACAGGGTTGCAGAATATATTTTAGCC